TCCTCTCTTACTCTTTTATTGTACACGAACAACTTTTAACTGTTCAAAAATAGTTCATGGTCATCCTGGAAAACTAATGAAGAGTGGACCAGATTTCTCATAATTATCATTGTTGTACATCAATTGTTCAGTTTCAATCCAATTCTCATTCTCAGCATGAAATCATTAACTATAACTATCGTCATTATCATTAAGATTCAATACAAAAATGAAGAAACTTCATGGAGACCATATCTGAAACTCGTTCATCATGAAAAAGATTTTCACTGAAAAAAAAGTTTGATTTTCCATCTTCTCATCAGGATTCAATTGTTGAAAACTCACAAATCAGTATGATAATTGTTATAACCAGAAAGGTTAATCATAATATATTATCATGGTGATTCCATGATGATGGAAAATCCCTCCTCCTCTCTCTCTCTCTCCATCGAGGTTAATATTATCATGTAAAATATGAATGATTGATGAGTTTTTTTCTCACTCAGTAAATCTCGAGAAAGAGCTTAATCTTATTGTAAGATTATTATTCAGTTTTGAAAAAAAGGCAAATGATGAAAGAGGAAGAAAAAAAAGTTCCAGAGAGAATTTTTCTCCGGAGAAACAAAAAAATGAATCAATTCATCTCTCTCTCTTTTAATCAGATTAAATTGTTCATATATCTAATAATTAATGAATCACAATTACATGAATGTCAGCTGTTTCCGTTTCTGAGCTTTCAAACCGTTTGAAAAATGATTCCCCATGAAATTATCCTGAGAACGGAAAGAGAATCGACCTCATGGAAGTTTGCAGAACTTTTTAATTCGGGACAAAAGTTCAACTTTTCGTGAATGTATTAGTTTGCTAGCTTCTTCTAACGAATCTTATATCGAATGGAATTAGGACTTTTCGTCAGAAAAAAAAACTCTTCGACTACAAACTCGAAAGTTTGACCTTTTAAGTTGTGATTGCTTATTGATTTTCTAACTTTTATTAATCGTTGTTCGATAACATTGGAAACTATTAAATCGTTATTGAAGCAATTTAAAAATTCAATAGATTGATCATCATGTTGAGAGGAGAAAATGAGATTGACCAAAGTATTTGAATTTTACAATATTGACCAGTGAAGGAAAGAAAAGGATATCAAGAGAAAAATCAATCATCGATCATGCAAATTTCCTATCAATGTGATTAAAAATACAATCAATTAAGTTGTCAACAATTAAACTAAATTGAGAGTAAAAACTTTTCAATTTTTATGATAAACGATTGAAAAACAACAACAACTCACTTGGACATTTGGCCTGATCGTTTTTGTTCAACATCGATATACAATTCAGGTCAAAACTTTTCGTTTCACAATCAATCATTAACCAAGAAAATACAGTTAATTGTCATAATATATTAATGATGACAACAGATTGATGACAGTTAACTGTCAAATGGTTAACAATTAAAACCGTTATGAAATCAATAGTTGCATCACCAATAGTTATCATCATCATTGTCTCAGATGTGATTGATTGTTTTGGCAACAGAATCATCATCATCATCATCATCATCATCAATGATGATATAAAGTTTCATTTTAATAGCGACCATCAATAAATTGTGAGTTAATTGTTAGGATTAGTGGAAAGATGATTAAAAAAGTTTGGCAAAGGCTGAATTGTTTTGAATTAATTTCCGTTGCCATTAACGTTTCTAAGAGTCTGAAAATAGATAGACATTAATTTAATAGGCTTAATTGTGAGTTATTAAACTAAATTAACTGTGAAAATTAAATGTTAACCATTATTATCATTATTATGATGATTGTTATTACATATTAAATAAATTGTTGTTGTCTCAAGCAACTGACGGGGGTGAATGTTATTATTATCACATACAAAGAGATACAATTGAAAACAATTAACTAACTACAATTGATAACCAAGAGTAACAATTAAAATCAATGGAAAAGCGTAGGAATTGATTATTAAAAAAAAACTATCAATTAGTTATAATTTAGTTTAATCACCTCACGAGAAACTTTGATTCATACGATTTTGATTGTTAAATGGTTAATAAGAAATTTGTTTTTCTTTCACAACAATTTAAAAAGTACAGTTAAATTTTCATAAATATAATTATGTTTACAGAACAATTAACATGTAATTTTAATTGCCACTGATTAATTGTCCCTGATGAGAATTGGAATAGTTCATGGAAATGCACTTACTTTTATTTACTAAATTAACTTTTGATTTGTAAATTGTTGAGAAAACCTTTTCTAATTTCTTAATTGTTTACTCAACTTTTTCGTCCAATGTTCAACTAATTGTTTCTCATTAATTAGTTAATTTTAATTTTTGAACAGTTAAATTTTCACACAAGATGAATGATTAATGAATCTTATAAGGAGTAGAAAGTGAGAAGAAAATTTTACCCAGAAAAAGTTGTAAAGGAAAAGTTCTGATTGAGAATTGATCATGAGGAAGAAAATGAAAATTCTGACAATAATGTTTACTCTCGGAATCGCCTTAGGCTCAATTTCAGTTTTTATCGTATTATTATTGTTTTCACTGTTCAGTTAATCATCATCATCTTCCTTATGAACAATCATCATGATAATCATGTTAAGTAAAAACAATAACAATCATTGATTAAATTGAAACACTGAACAATCAAACAATGAACAGTTAAGTTTACAATTGAATTTACAGAGAGAGAGAGAGAGATGGAAAAGTTTCATCACTTAACTTTTCCATTTTTTTCTTCACCCTAATTCTGGATAACATGATAACATGATAATAAACAGAACAATGATCGGAAAATCAATAAGAAAAAAAAAGAAAAAAAAATTTTCTCTCAAAAAACTGATAATCATTATTTTCATCATCATGATATAATTCAAGGTAAGAATCAACGATTCAATGGATAAATAATATTGAAACTTTGATTGTTTACATGATTCATGATATGAATATAATTTGTTTTCCTCTTTATATTTCAAACAAATTGTAAGAAATAAAACTGACCGAAAACTGACCATTGGAGCTTTTTTTAGTATTATCATTATTATTATTCACACGAAATTGAATCATTATTATGATGATTATCGCGAAATAACAATAACAGGGAGTGAGAGAGAGAGAGAAACAATTATTCATATGAGGAGATAAATGTTACCATTCAAATTCAGTTATCATGTTATCATCATTATGTAATCACCGGAATGATGACATTGGTTTTCATGGGAAGATCAATATATTCATGCTTTTTTCATGGTGATGATGAGGGATGAGGAAAAAGGCAACATATATATTACATGGTGATGATGATGATGATACAAAATGAAAAGCATATTGTGAAAAATTTTCAACAATAGAAACAGTTTTCCAATGGTTAAAACTCTGAATTCATGATAATAATATAATCACCATGAAGATAATTTTATTATATTATCATGAGAGAGTGAGAAATGGTTCTAATATCAAAAATAAATGGTAACGACAACTACAGACACTACTACTTTTACCTCCCCTTCCATATGATTGAATTAACAATTTAAGTCTCCGGGAAATAGGGATCAAGTTTACGACCAAAGTGACCACTTTTGCATCACAGAAAATTGATATCATGTTGACCAATGGTCAGTTAGTAAGATGAATAAGTCATAATGTAATAAGAACTTTTTGATTCTTTGATAGCTGCAGGATAGAAAAAAAAAGTAAGGAAGGAAGGAGAGAAAGAGGAGAAAAAATTGAACACAAATACTCGGAGAAGAGAAAATGACTGAAAGGATAAACTTAGATTATCTTAGCAAATGGATGAAAATTGGTGGAAGATAAGTTTCAGGGTGAAGATGAGAATTGAGGGTGGAAGATGTAAAAATCTCCAGTGAAAAGATTTCTTTTCCTCTTTCAAGATGCTCACTCTAAGTGATCATCCTCATCTTTTATAATACAATCAATCTTATAACTCTAAACCCTGAGGGTGAATAAGTTTTGACACAAAAACCTTAACATATTATTCATTTAATATGAATTTCTTATGAAACTCATATCGATATGATAAAACTTGAAAGATTCAAATTTTTAACTTTGACCCACAAAATGAACATCGTATCACCAATCATGATCATGACTATGATTCTCAAGTGATTGATCAAATCAATAAAAAGTTAATTGAATCAATGTTAAAAAAAAATGAGCTAAAAAATAAACAGTGAATCAATATTGACCACCGGAACAATCAATTTAAAACTCTTACCAATTAATAAAAAAGTAACAATAGTTTTTATATTTAACTTTGGGTTAATTTGGTTAATTGGATATTAATCTTGACACGGGATTTAAGAAAGTCAATTAAAATTAGATTGTTGTTAAATAAGGTTAATCATCTAGACTTTTTATGGTTTGAAGATCATTAATGTCGCTATTAAATGTCAACTGTTGGCTTTTTTTGGGTCAAACTCAATGTTATTGTTGATATTTTCATTTATAATCCAAGTGAAAATATTAATCTGTCAGTTGATTGTGGTTATTATTATCATCAGGAAGATGAAATATATAAAAAAAATGATGGGAAAACGATAAACAAATATTTTGTTGATTCTCTGAAAGGAAAAACTCATTGATTGGAATGAAATTCAATGGGTGACACATTGAATTCAATTAAAATCAACAATATGAAACTTGTCATCTTATTGGTGATTTGTAAGTTTTTTTTCCTGCTTAACTTTGTTTCGACCCACCTAATAGATTGACAATCAGTCAAAAGTTATTATGACAACTTTCTAGATTATATATTAGCCTTTTTCCCCTAATCACCATCACCATGATTATCATTATCATCATAGTGATAACCGGACAATCGAGAATCTCAATTGACCTTTATCATCTTGATCGTCATCATCAATAAGCTATCAGAAAGTAAAAGTAATAAAAGTCATCAAAGATGATAAAAAAAATGAAGATTCTTAAGAGATGGTAACTAATAGTAATAAAAAAAGAGCTAAAAATATAAAAGGCAAATATAATAATAAATTATTATCATTATATTATTATTATGGTTGATGGAAGATATAATTTTTTTTGTCATCTTACTAAAAGTCTCTCTCTCTCTCTTTTTTTTCTCCCTATTTGGCTCTCCTTTTGTCTTCACCATCATCTTCATCTTCTTTGTCTGATTATTTCATAAGTTTTGTCGTCCTTTGTGTTGATAGTCCATTCATCTATTTCCTTCAATGTATTATTGTTGTGATGTTGTTCATTCGTCGTCGATCTTGTTACTATTATCATCATTATTATTGTATTAATAAGATGATGACAATTGTCTTTGTGTGTCTCTGGTCATTCCCTTTCGTTGTTGATATACAGCTGAAGAAGAGAAATAGAAAAAAAAGTAAAACAATTCAATTAAAGTTGATTCAATTAATCTGATTAACTCTTCCATTCTCATCTAAATTGTAAGACATACTCGTAAACTAAACTGCTCATTAGATGTATAATAAAATAATAACAAACTTCATTGGTTATCTATTACATTAACTATCTTGTTAACTGTTAATGTTCAAGTTGTTGTTGTTGATGATGCGGATGATGATGATGATGATGATGATGATGATAAGCAATTCATAGGAGTAAAAATAAGAGATTCAAGAAAAACACAATCAAATAATCAAATCAAATTGCCATCCAAATGAATGAGAATCCACAATCACAATCAGTTAAAATGAGATTTACGATCAAGTTGATCACTTCAAGTATTTCCAATGTTTGGCCAATCAATAGATGTTTGAAATTATAACCATCAAGTTTGAATCGTTAGAATCCAATTGTTGGTAGATTATCATGATAATAATCAAAAGGTAGTCTAAAAACGAGAAGAAAATCATAATTAGTTAATTGTAAGAAAGATGAGATTTGTTATTTTCGAAATCTATGATAAATGTAATTCCCTCTTCGTAGATTCATTCAGTTAACTGATTATCATGATACATGAAATAAACTAAGGAAAAAAAGGAGAGTTAGAAAATAAAAGAGGAAAAAGTGACTATTATTGAAGATGAAAATGAACTGATGGACAATCAACTGATTCTCATCCATTTTCAATGATTATTTTTTGGGTGATTCACATGAAAAGATGTTGTAAAGAATAAGAAAGTAGATGAGAAAGACAAGGAAGACAAAAAAAATGAGTTTTGCCTTTTCAATTGTGAATACAAGAGATGAACTTATGCTTGTCTCTTTCAATGCTTTTTTCTCATTCCAACATTTTCTCATCTTCTCTTCATGATTGTATTTTTCCTCTTCATCCTCATCCTCATCATCATCATCCGCATCCTTTACTCCATCTTCTCAATTCATCTCTTCGTACAGTTCGTAAATGTATAGCCCCTTATTCAATAGTATCTTTAGCTTTCACTTTTTACTTTTGCTTCTTCTACTTTTTTGCTCTCTCTCTCTCTCTCCTCTCCTTGGGATGAGAAAATTGAGAAGTGCAAGATGAAGATGAAGATGAGGAAGATGAAAAAACAGCAAACGTCCCAATCAAATTAAATGATGAACAACTTACAATTGTTCACACATGGGTTTGTGTTTGGAAACATTAGTTGCATTAAAAGTTGTCAGGTCTTTTTGGAAAAAACTCTGTTTCAACTGTGGTACTTACATTTATATTCAATCAAGAAGATGAGGAAGAGGATGAAGATTAAGATGGTGAGAGAAAAAGGGAGAAAATCTTGGATCTTCTCTCTTTTTCTATCTTCAATCGATCATGGAAAAATCTTTTCTCAGAGATTTTCAGTTACTATTTTTCTTTCAACTTATTCAATTTCACATTACTTTTTATCTATTTGTTTAAATCTTCTTATTCACTCACCAAGATATGATTCTCGTCTAGATGATTAACAGATAAAATGAAAGAGAGATACAGAAATCTAATCTCATATCTATTATTCAGAGCATTTTTCCATAATCAATTATCTTAACACCCATAAACAGTTAACATTAAATCCTTTTAACTTAATGAAGATGATGATCGTTGATATAATGATGATTATTGTCCAAAACAAGTGTAATCACATGGAAATCAAATGAACCAATCCAGTTAACTTGAAATTGGCTTAATTATCATCTGACCAATGTATAAATAAATTTGTAAACCGTATAAATAGATGATAAACAATTTAGACCATCATCATCTCTCCATGGTTTGGTGAATAATTCAATCTTGATTAAATGAAAAAAGATTTGATTAATATCATCAGATTGACCACAATCAGTAGTTAATCTTGTAGATAGATAAAATCATTTCTTCAACTACTGCTACTGGTGTCCACTGATAGCCACACAATTTTTTTTCAATCAATCAATAATTGGTCAGTTTAACCATGCATGGTAGCATCTTTCCGTTTCCTTTTCTGTCCAGTTGATATTTGATTCCTTGTTACATATCAACATAGATCTTTCCAATGGTAGATTAACGTTTACCCAAAGTTGAAAATAATAATGTAACTTTGTTTCATCTTGATTCCAATGGATTATGTTTACTTTCAGAATAGATGATGATAAATCTGCAATTAGTATAGAAAAGAAAGAAACAATTAGAATCTGTATATTATAAAGGATATTATGGTAAAGATAATAATAAGATGGAAAAAGTTGAGTATCAATAATAGATACATTGTAACCAATATTAATTCTCAAGAGGAAACAATTACAAGAAAAGGTTAGTTGATTACTGTAAATTTTAGGATTGAATATATTGTTATAATAGAATGAGAATTAATATGATTAGTAAAACAATGGAAATGGAAAAGATAAAGAAAAATATACTGATGAGTGGATTAAAAAGCTTCCAAGATGATTCCAAGAGTTTCAGGGTGAATTCATGATATATCGTATATTTAGATATATCGTGAGTAGATTGTTGTATTAATAGTATTTGATGAATTTGATGAGGAAAGTGTGTGAGTGAAAAAGAGAAAGGGAAAGATCTGATAATCAGAAAAGGATAAGAGAAGAAAAAAAAATTCTGTAACCTGATTTACTGATGATGGTCAAAGATAAGTGAATCTATTGTTATCAAATTAACTGATATTTTCTCTCATCATTATCATCGTTATGAAGTAGACTAAATTTTTTTTTCTTCTCTCCTCTGCTGATCTCAGATGATGATTTATCCTTCATCTTTACCATTTTTCTTTAACCTTTAACATGGAAATAGAAATTGTTTCACAAGTTTCACCACCTCTTTTTCTTGAAACGCCCAATGATATAAACTCTCTACTCTGTTCAGTGTCTTTTCCTCTCCCTGTGTTAATATGTTCTTAATCAATATCAATAACAGAATGTTATTATTTTCATCTTAGTTTAACTAGTTTTCATCATGATAATATTAAGAAAGTGAGGAAAAGACAGAAGTAAACGAGGGTGAGAGAGGTAAAAATGATTCTCAATCCATTTCATTATTTTTCGTCCAAGTAATAAATTTACTCGAGTTGAACTTTTCCCTTTTCTCCCTTTCACTTTCACTTTCACTTGCCATTTGGTTACCTTAGTGATGGGTATTCTTTCTGGTCAATTCTGGACGATTTTCATTGTCAACCTAATCAATCACCTAAGAAAAAGAGAGAGAGAGAGAGAAGAAATAATAAAATAAGAGTTAGATAAGTGTATATTCAGATCACTTGATAAGTAATAGGATTTCAACAATATAATAACAATCATAATAATGATGATGATAATGATAAAGGATAAATTAGACTGGTCAAGGTAAACCTACATGAGAATAGACACAATTCAATATAAAGAAATAGCTAAAAATAATAAGAGGGATATATGACGAGGTGGATAAAGATAGAAATTAACACTTTTAGAATTGGAAGAGCTTGTTAGTGGTTAAAGATATTATTCATCATGTTACCCTCTATTAGTTGGTTGTAATACAATATCAGAGCTGCTTAATAGTATCAATCTATTAGATCAAACTAATTGTTTGAAACTCTCTGTCACCAATTAATTTGTGATAATCAGTGGTGGTAATGGTGATGATAGTGTCAATGTGTGAATAAAAAAAAATCTCAGAATTGGATAATGGTTGTAAATTAGTGTTAAACCAGACTTTTCCCATGGCAAATCATTCACTCTTATCATCATTGTGTTGGAATTATTTGTAAGCTGATACACCTAATCAGTTTTGGTTCTAGTTAAATTGGTTTCTCTGTGATTTCTCAAGTGATTCTGTACAAAAGGAGAGAAAGAGTAAAGAAAATCAGAATAAGAATATAAATATATCAAATAATATGAAGGAAAAAAGTCAGAGAGAGAGAGAGAGAGAGACGAGAAAAGTATTAATGAAGATATAACTTGGATAGGATGACGATGGTGTCGAAGATGAAAAGACAAGAACAACATGAAAAAAGGAGTGAAAACTGTCAATAATAAGGTTAAGTGAGAATGTGTAGTTGGATATTATGTTGTGGCTTTAGGGTGGAGTGTTAAAGAGGAACAATAGGTTTTGATTGTTTGGGACATGAAACATTGATTACATTCAAATAAATTGGAAATGATTCAATTTAGAATTGTAAGTGATGGAATAATCTTGTAGGAGATTATGGCTTAGGAAGGAAGAAAAAATGGAGGGAAAATAAAAGGAAGAGAAACTAAAAGGATAAAGATATAAGGAGAGAGAAAGAAAAAACAAAAGATAAAGAGGAGGAAGATGATAATAAAGATGAGAAGTATATTTGACAAAGATAGTTTAATCAGAATTTATGCTTACTTTGTCTTAACATTATCATCATTCGTCCAACAGTTTTATTGGTTAAATCTCAATTGTCCTGGATTGTCAAAGGCTAATTCAAGTTTAACTGTAATACATCAAATCAACTGTAGTTGGTGATTTTATCCTTGCAACACAATAAATGACCTTCTTTATTGGTCAGTATTTCCTATGGTATAACCTTGATTATCCTGTTTGTTGCCTTTTGATTTTGAAATAGAGGATCAGAATTGACCTTTTTTCCTTTAACTCCAATTTAATCATCACCTTCATCATTTTAATCTTTGAAAGAACGAAGTAGAAAGTTCAATTTCCATCATGTTGTTTCAATAGGATTCATTTAATCTCATTTTTATCCATTCATTTGGTGAAAACATGCTGATAGAGAGAGAGAGACATTTGTCTCATCACAGGATAACGATGCTTCTGAACCAACGGGCCTAAAATGATGTAAGAAAAGAGGATAAATATAATTAGAAAAACAGAATTAAGATAATGAAAAAAAAACAATATTCTCTAAATTGTTATTAATAGAGAGACTCTTTAAAATGAAGTTAAAACTGTCAAATCGACAAGGTAACTACTTAATCTGTCAAGTAAAAAGTTACTAAGGTTAATTGAGAGGTAATACTTACAGAGAGGGAGAGAAAGAGAGAGAAATAGAAAGAAAAAAATGTAGTTTATCCATCAATTGGTCATCATCGTCAAATTTATTAACAGCTGATTTGCTAATTGACGTTTAACCCCTTGAATTAAAATCCAACAGTTAATCACTAAAGGAAACATCATTATGATAGATTAACAGTTAATCTGGTCAATTTATCTTACGAAAAGATGAAGGATAATAATAAAAAAAATAGTCACATCGAAACATATTAAGTATCCATCACATAATATTCATTTCCGTGTGTCCTTGTTACTAAGGTGAATCGCCATCTTGTTTTCCTTCAACTATAAATTTCCAAGAATTATTGTCATCATTCAAATTGGAAGATTTTCTCTAATATTGGAGCTAATAGAAAATGTTTACAAGATGATTAATATTGATTAGTTTAACGAAGAGATTAAATTGGTAATGATGACATTAGTATTCAAATTAACAAGTTAAATTGTTGCTGGGTGAGTAATAAAACCGTTAACGTTTAATTCAACACTTAAATTAAATGTATTCCAATTTTGAATTTAAAGAAAAAGCTTCTGATTGGTTCATTTCTTTTTTTTTTCGATTTCTTTTTTGTTCTATTCTTTTTAGACCCGAAGGGTAGGTACTATAAGTGTTACGTTTATCTATTTAGATAAAACCTTAGCATTAAACTGTAGTAAACATTTTTAAAGATAATTTGGTGTGGCGATTAGATAAAACATAATTTTATATTAATTTAATTTAATCCATCATTTGAATTCCTTTCAAAATTAACAAATTCAATTCTGATTTAATTTTAAGATTCGTGACTCAAGGCTCATTGTTTAATAAATACAATTCTTATTTAATGAATTTTATTATAATTATAACTACTAGATTTGTGAATTACTAATGAGTAAAGGATTGTGTTTACCTTTATTTTTATTGAACGTTTATTATGATAGTTTATTTAATGATCAATTTTAATAAAGAATTGAATTAATTAATTATCCAATAAAATTACATGAAGAGGAAATGAATGGTGATGTAAGAATAGAAATGATTAATGAATTATTGAATTGAACTTGTAATTTATGGTGAATGAGTTTAAAATTGAATCTCATTGTCGAATTAGGATTTTAGATCACTTGAATTACATTCTCGCCAATTCAGATTCAGCTTGTAAGCTGAACAAACTGATAATCTATGAACTGATGAATTATCACAATATGGACATTCGTGGACTTGGTAGCATTCTGATCGAACACTATTTTTACATTACCCACATATGTAATAAATTTAACAATTATTAGCATTGGAACGGAAACAGCCATTGTAAGCAGTATATTAGAAATTAGTTAAAATTCTATTGTGAATTCTATTATTATAATATTATAAAGATGTTGACAATTGATTATCGAATCTGAATTGGAAGTTGCAATGATATTTTCATAAATAAAATTGTCTGAGTTATTGGGTTAAGGTGCAATCAAATCAAATATAATAGAATAACCAAGACAATAATTGATAGATAGCAAATTATTATTCATGATTTACAAATTAATTTGTCTTCGATGGAGTGAGATACGAATTGTTAATAAGTAATTCTTGTTGAAGGTGAATTCAACCTGAAAGAGGATCATCTTAATCTCGCCCCAAGGTGAAAGACTTTCTGTTTCTGCAGAAAGATGAATTCAATATTTTGAGAGGACGAATTCAAAGTGATTTTCATGTAAGTTAATTTGATTGTTTTTGTGAGAACTCACTCATTCTAATTGTTGCTCTTTAGGAATTCATTATATTTACCTCTTAATAGTAATCAAAATTTGTCATATCGTAGCTTTATAAGTTTGCTAAGATATTAGATTTATCAAGTAATTATTGGAGCCGTTGAACAAAAAATTTAGTCAGATGATTTATTTTTATGATAGTTGATTTATTCTTTTAGATCAAATAAATGAAAAATTACAAGTTTATTACTTTTCACAATCAAAACAAATGTGAAATGTGTATGAATCTGAATTGAAATTATTGGACAAATTATAATTAGATTATTTTAATTAAATTCTTTATTTGTTTCTTTTTAAGAATTGAAGGTAGAGAAGAAAGAAAAAGAAAGAAAAGAATTTTCGTGTTCTCGGAAGGGAATTAGATTTAACGAATACAGCAGAGTTTATTCAAAATCTCGGTAAGATAATAGCTAATAATTGAAGGCAGTTTGTACTCGCTCAGGGAAAAGTGACCGGATAATAAGTTACAGAACTGCACACTACCAGAATGACCTAACCAGGCCTAAATAATGTCCAAGCCAAACCAAACCAAACCAAACCAAACTTAACCAAGATGACAATGTATATTGAGCCATGTTGATCAATGTTTTGCACTTATCGCAAATATAACGTTATTTATGCTTAATCTTTTCCCTTATTCATCAAACTATTGACCTTAGCTGTATTGCATTCATTTGTTTACAAAACATACCTCTAAAAAAGACAAATATGCAGGATATTGTTATGTCTGATAAATAACAGTGTGGTTCAATGAATGATAATTAATGATGCACACGCAAGTGACGGTTCTTACTTAAATCAAAAGGATAAACTAAGAGCAGACCGTGGGATTATAGAAAATTAAAGACACGACTTTTTAGAATAAAAAAATTTACTAACAGTAACTTTTAAGCTGAATATTTATAGCTATCAAAAATATAATTAGAGTCGATACTGGTAAAAGAAAATCAATTGTTGATCAAATGGTTAAGCTCGAATTAAACTTAATTGATTATCGCGATGATAAAATCAGTGATGTAGTTATTAATAGGTTACAAACAATGTGTTGTCAATCATATAAAAATTACGTTGTTTCAATAAGGCAAGAAGTTCATACACAGTTATTGTTCCTTAATGAGCTGATAAAAAGCTACACGATGATCATTTCTTTGAAGCAATTTATCATTCTTGTTCATCCTATTAACAATTAATAAATTGTCATTTTAATCGAAGTGTTGATTTACCTTTACTTATATTTTTGAATTTATTTGTATTCTAGTTGCTAAGGGGAAGGGGAAAAGGAAGAGGCTCCTCCTTTACCAAAACATCTTAGACCTTACCAAACAATCTAAATCAGTTTGTTTGCAAAATTTCATTTTTACTTTAATGATTGTTCAATTTGAGTGGTTAAATTTTCAGAAGTCTATAAATCGTTGTTTTTAAAGACAAAACAAGCTGCCTATCGGGTCTGGGGATATTTTTCCATTGGAAACTCACCTTCCCTAGTTTTTAACCCTAAATGGATCTAACAACAAATCATTAGTAACTTTTTCCACCAACAATTGTTATTGAAAAGAAAGTGGGACTAAATCATTATTTTCTGATGATTGTGCTGGTAATCGATGGTAATAATAGAGTCTATGTTAGAGAGATTCAAATACATTTTTCTAATCAATTCTAATTCAGTTTTTGATTTTTTTTTTGCTTCTTCTTGTTTATATTGATTGTTAATCAACTCAACTGAACAACGAAATTTGAATTTAAAGAGGAGAGAATGTCGTTTAAATGATTTATAAAAGGTTGTTAATTGGAGGCAATGTCAAAAGTGAATAACTAAACTGTTCTCATTGTTTTGTTGAGAATAAGTGACAACTAATATAAAGGGAATACATGAAAGTTGAGTGATGGTTAAGGTAAGAAATTAACTGAATTTCAATTAACTAATGAAAAAGAATTGAATTGAATTGAATTTCAATTATCAAATGAACTGGAGGACAAAAAAAGTTAGAAATTACAATAAATTAACTTACCCACAATTGAGTTTATCCTGTAAGGTTAATAAGTCATCGGAATGATTAACCCTTGAAATCAGGGTGATAATGATTACATGATCCATCTAATGTCAATATCCTAATGATGATGATGATGATGATGATGATTACTCCAAGTTAATCAATTCGGTTGAAGCAAAAATCTATGTAAAAAGATGAAAAGAGTCGGGTAAATGGATAATAGATATTCCATCATGAAGAAAAAGAAGATATTCCAATGATAATGGAAAAAAATAATTTGTATAACAATCAGAATTCCCTTGAAATGAGTAATTAACAATAATAACAATGCTGATTAGGCAAACACATTGAATGATGTGATTAATCAGTGATATAAATAAATATCACACTTTCAAGTAAATCACGTCAATAAGCAGAGAGAAAAAAGATGTAAAACATCATAATAACCATAACAAGTGGAAAACCATTGTAACCATCGGATTAAATTACATAAATCAAATCAAGATATAAATTATGATTAATTAAACCAAATTAATCCAAAGTTCAGCCAACCCAAAAGCTACCAAAAGAGTAATACAACATAAAAGCCTAGGAAAGAGAGAAAGAAAAATCAGAATAGAAAAGAACAAAATTAACATCAAACAAATTAGAAGAATAAAAACTGTAACCACTCACAGATTAATAATAATAACCAACAATTAACAAATCTATCGGTAACAATTAAAGAAAATCAAAATCAGATTGAAAATGAAACGGCATAGAAACAAAAAGAAACACTTACCAAATCAAACCAGTGAAATTTAAGAAAAAGTGAAACGTTAACCTCAAGTACCAACCGTTTGCAGTGTTAATTGTAATTCACTTTAGGACGTTAATTGTTGCACTTTGAATAGAAAAGAATAAAAAAAATGATTAGTTAATCAGATTCCAATTAATTAGTCAAATATAATTGAAGATAATCACCACGATCATGTTGACTCGCCTTCTCCAATGAGTAAACAAGTTAAGAGAGGGAGAAAGAGAAAGAGAATAGAATAAAATAAAAAGAAAGAGAAAAACAAGTTAACGGGCAGACATTTTTTTCTCTTTCTTTCACATTGAGTAATTTTCTCATTTTTTGTTTTCATTTTTAATTCTCTTCTCTTTTGGTGCAATTTGTTTTTCTACGTATTAATTAACTTTAATTACTTATTCTTTTTAAATTAGTTAATTTTCTCTGTGTATTTGTGTATTTTCTTGTTCTCTTGTTTTCTTTTAATTGTCTGACTATTAATTGTGTTAGTCAATCAATCAAACATGTCAACAGAAATTGAAATCACTAGGCCTCAACGTAAAACTGAACATAAATTTGTCTTTGATGATCATGAAGATGGTGGTAAATGTTGATTTTTTTTTGTTTTCTTTAATTGTTTAATCCTTTAATCAATTTTAATTTATTCTTTCTAATTGATTGTTTGTTTCTCTCTATTGTTCAACAGCTAATAACACTGAAAACAATGGCTTATGTGCCTACTTTCTAACCGCCATATCGGTTGTTTTGATTGTCATTACATTACCATTCTCACTTATGTTCTGTATTAAGGTAAGAAATTTACTCTTTTTCTTGTCCTCCCCCTTTGTCCAATTGTCACCTCAAATAATTGGTAATTAGTGATTGTCAATCAATATTTTCCGTTTCATCTTAACTTTTGGGAAACATTTTGGGTTTACAGGTAAACGTTACAAGTAGATTATGTGTGTGCTTTTTATACTTAAGTCATGGTTTTGGTTTTTTTTTGCTCTGTTCTCTTAACATTACATAAGCTTTTTCTTTCTTTCTCTCTCACTGTCCTTTTCTATTCTTTCCTTGTTTCTTTGTTTCCATGTTGTTATTTTTATTATTATTGACACATTTGAGGAAAGACTTGAGTCACACCCAATTTATTATCTACATCATCTTCATCTTTATTTAGGTTGATATCAGTTTGATTCTAACTACTTCAAGATTATCTCTTAATTTATTATTGTTATGTTTTCTCATGGTTAGATCTTCACTTATCAATTGAAATCATATGTTTTCTTTTCTCTTTCTCTACTTTCTTTTTCTTCTTCCATCCTGTTGGTCTTTGCCAAAGTTGTGATTGTTTTTACAAATGTGAAAAAAAACTTAGTTGGCGAAAAGTGAGTTGCTAGTTTGTTTCTTTCTCTCTCTCTCTCTCTCTCTCTCTCCATTAATTGCTAGTTAACTCAAGATTTCTGTGTATATTTAAATGAACATTTAATCATGTTCCTGTTTCATCGTTTATTCTGTTGATTCTATTGCCATTGGAATAAATTTCTAATTGTTATCAACCCTGTCGTCTCTGTTCTTGGTTTGTTTTTGGAGGAAGAGAGACAAAAATTTCCCTTGTTGTTGTTTGTTGATTTCCTCTCATTTATTTTTGTCTCCCTTTTCATTTAATTTTCCTCCTCCCTTCCTCTTCTCATATTAATCGTATCTAAATCGTCAAAGATTTCAATTTAGATTCCAACCAAGATCATGTTGATCCATTACAATGATAATCTTCATACAATAAACTTTCAAAGTTTCTACTTTCTCACCATGTAAACAAAGCTGTTGCTTTATCCTGTTCTTGATTCAGTCGATTCTGAACATATTCTAATCAAACATGATTTTTATTAGATCATTTGATTGAGAATCAATCAGTTCTTATTTTCTGTGTTTATAAATTCCTTAAATTGATTGTTTGTATCGATCTTTGATGTTTCTAAGAAATTTCATTTGATTTCGACGTTTTCTCAGAGATTGTATCATGAAATTAGTTGATATCAATTTATGTTTCATCCATTTAGACCATATTCCTTAAACTGTCCATTGAATAGGAAATTACTGATAAATTATTTTCAATGGAGAACATTTGATGGTCCCTTAAAGTTATATTATAAAAATTTTAATTGTTATTTATTGTCAACAACTAAAAGGACTACCAGTATCTGAATTTTCATGATACCGGCCTGAAGCGTCTCTGAGTACCAGGCCAAAACCCGTCATGTCCATAGAGCCCAATGTTAAATTCAACCTTTAAAATTTTTTTTATTTCTTATCCGATTTTGATCAAAAGTATCTCAAATTAATCGTAATGATATAAACAATCAATTTCAATTTTCTCATAAATAATTAACCATCAGAACTGAAATTTCAAATTATTGTTCATTGCTAATTTTATGTTACTCGTAATCAAATGAATCCTAAATTGCTAAAATTATTCCAATTCTTAATCATGTTTGATAGTTAAATTGTAATGAAGTTTAATTAAAAGCTATAATCATTTTCTTTCTGAATTTATATTGTCGACTGTATCCTCTTTTTGTATATATTTTTACCCGAACAATTATTCAAATTGAACAATTAAATCTAATCTTATTTTCGTTTCTCTCTCTCTCCTCAATTATCAGGTTGTCCAAGAATATGAGAGAGCTGTTATTTTCAGATTAGGTCGATTGCTTAAAGGCGGTGCCCGTGGACCTGGTATCTTCTTTATTATTCCTTGTATTGATTCATATTGTAAAATTGATCTAAGAACCGTATCTTTTGATGTTCCTCCTCAAGAGGTGAGCCGATTTTACCAACCATCATTTCATAATTCCTTAAGCTGGTTCACCATTAAACCAAAGAGAAATCAACATTTTCCCAATGTCACTGATAATCTCTCTATATATAAGATGTGACTTATGATGAATTCTGAAACTGTAACCATGAAATTCAAGTCAAATGAATCAGATTCAACCTTGAACAGCTTATATAACACAGGAAGAGCAAGGGAGAAAAGCAATGATATTTTCTATTTTCTATCCATCACTTTAACTTTCAACTGTCTCTTAAGATAATATTATTAGTTTTCATTGGTATCAGTTGTAAAAACATGAGTGGGGACTCATTTGTTACCCAAATATTTATCTATTATTATTATTATTATGATTTCAGATGCTACTTGATAGACTATCAAGCTTAACATTAGATTTTACTTATGATTCTCATAACTGAATGAAACTTTCTTTTCCTAATCATTTTGGTGGGTGAGAAACAAATATAAAAGGATTTACCTGATTCATTTTGAGATTCAATAGTTATCAATTTCACCCAATGTATATTCAAATATTAGTTTAGCTTGTTTATCTCTTCCCATCATGGAATCACTTTCTCCACATCTCACCACACACATACACCACCACCATTATCATCTTGATCATTATTTACATGGTTAAGGAGAGAAATTTAACAACTTTGTCCATCATCAATTCTGCTTAATCCATTTTATTTTTCTCTTGGCTTTTCATTTGGATTAAAGTGACTTTCCGAAAAATAATATCCACTATGAATCTACTACCCGGAGATTTCCTCAGATCGATGAGCTTTTTTGTTCATACATTTTATGCATCAACATGAAAAATCATGTTTACGATGATAAATCATCTTTATCTTGCAACTCTCTCAGCCTGATTTGGCAAAGAAACTTTATTACATTGATTTGGATTGAGAAACATTAACTTTTCTAATATTATTTTTTCTCATTTTCTCTTTTTGTCGCTTTTTTCTTAATTCTATTATTTGTTATCAAATTATTATCTTCCATAGGTTAATAGACTTTTAATCTCATTTTATGTTCTTTAACTTTTTTTTCTAATCATTTTTACTTTTATTCTATTTTCTAATCCAATCAACAGATTTTATCAAAAGATTCAGTGACAGTTGCTGTTGATGCTGTTGTTTATTATCGTATTAGCAATGCCACTGTTGCCGTTACCAATGTTGAAGATTATGGACGATCAACTCGATTACTTGCAGCAACAACACTTCGTAATGTTCTTGGTACTAAAAATCTATCGGAACTTCTTAGTGAGAGAGAATCAATCAGCCATATGATTCAAAGCAGTCTCGATGAAGCCACCGATCCATGGGGTGTTAAAGTAGAACGGGTTGAAGTGTAAGTTCATCTTAATTAGTAGATTTTTACTTGATTTTTATCATGAGTTCTTTTATTAGGGGTTTCCAAAAGTCTTGTGCCTGACTATGTTTTATTGTAGATAGAACCAAAATTTGAGTGGCAAATTAATGCTCATAGATTTTGATCATAGAAAATGAGTTTTCATAAAAATCGAGCGATTCAATTTATTTTGAGGTCAAATTAGGTCAAAAGGTACGAGTTTTTCAATGGGAATTTTAACATGGAGAAATCAGATTGAAAGGGTAAAAAACAGTTGAAAACTTTAACTTTTTTCAATCAAATTTGAATATTTCGCTTAATTTTTGTTTTTTATTCACAATTTAAAATGATTTCAAATGCCAAAATGCTAGCAATGCTTATGATAAAAAAATTCTGAATTTTTTGAATGAATTGGTCCATGAAATCGTGATTTATCTGCAAAATAGCGGTTTTCGACCTAATTTGACCTCAAAATAAATTGAATCGCTCGATTTTTATGAAAACTCATTTTCTATGATCAAAATCTATGAGCATTAATTTGCTACTCAAATTTTGGTTCTATCTACAATAAAACATAGTCAGGCACAAGACTTTTGGAAACCCCTAATAGTTCCAATTCAATTTCAGGATTCGACTTTGACTGCCATCTCTTGATCATTTGAATTGTCTAAAGTAATCATAAAATTCAATAGATGGCAATAGTTGAATAGACTAAATGTTTGAATAGATGATAAAATTTTCAATTGTTGATAATAACTTTTTTCTCTTTCTATTCTCTTACAGTAAAGACGTTCGTTTACCAGTGCAATTACAACGAGCCATGGCTGCTGAGGCTGAAGCTGCTCGAGAAGCTCGTGCTAAGGTTATCGCCGCTGAAGGAGAGCAAAAAGCTTCACGAGCTCTTAAAGAAGCTGCTGATGTTATTACCGATTCACCTGCTGCTTTACAACTTCGTTACTTGCAAACTCTTTCATCAATCGCTGCGGAGAAAAATTCAACAATCGTGTTCCCAATTCCAATGGAATTGTTCAAAGGACATATAACAATGTGATCAGTCTCTTAAATTCTGCGTTTTAATACATCACAAAAATTTACACAAATTATACACACAAAACAACAACCACAGCTTAATTATACATATATACATAAAAAAAAGGTACAGAGATGAACGGAAAACAATGGGGCTATGAGGAAACGGAAAGATGTAAAAATCAATGAAAAACAAAGAAAAGTTATTCAAAGAAAAGGATGAAAACAAAGCTTAAAGTTGTCTTTTTAATATATCGAACTGTTAATCAACAACAATATTCACAAATGAAAAAAGTTAATTGAGAGACAAGAAAGCAATATCTGATTAAGTCGCATCAATCCAATCAATTGTGCTAAAAGTTTTCTGTCCCCTCCAGTTAATCCATTTGATATATTATCATTTGTTTTTGGAATTTTATCAAAATTAGAAATCCACCTACACTATTATTATCCAGGAGTGCAAAGGAACGAGACTGTTAATCAATTGGAAAAGTCGAGCTTTGACAACCAGGACAATAATCGTTAATAACAGTTTTCCCTTTCCACTTTTCCTCTGATACTCTAAACGTTTAATGAGCAAGCATGGCGCTAATTGATATCACGGAATTGACGACATTAATTGCACTTGATCTTTTAATTATCTTTTTTCATGCCTCGTGTTTTAATTCCGTCGATGATTTCAAGTATATAAAGAAACAAAAGACACACTCAAACACATGAAGAAAAAAACACTAATCACAACAAAATTGTTAATCAAACGCTTATAACCTTTGTATTTATATTATTACAAATAATATATATGAATCTCTGATTGTTAATCCAGATTTAAATTAGCAAAGGGACACTGAATCAACACGCAAAAGGAAATCGCAATTTAAGATCAAATTATTATTACTACTAATTGTATTAATTGTTGTGGCTTTGTTTGAGTTTTTTTTTGTAATTATACAAAATTGCCACTAATTAACAATGTTACCAAACCACACTAACCACTGGTCACTTTCAATGTTACCTATTTTCAATAAAACAAAAAGTATCTTCTCTTTTTCTAACACAATCAGTTTTAAACAATTTGTTTAATTGTAATCATACATTTCTACAATTAAGTTACTTGAGGAGTTAATTAAATGAGAGCATAAACTTGACCAATGATTTCTGAAGAAAATTTTTAATTGATTCTGATTGATTTGTAACGATTAACAATTGAACTTTAATTTATCGAGTTTAATTGTTGAGCTGATGATCATTTGATTGGTAATTTTAATCATGTGTACACTTGTAGATTAAAAAAAAGTAACGATTAGTTAATTGTTTAGCGATTTAATCACAATTAGATCAAGTTTTATTGCAAGTGAAAGTTAATTGTGTTTGTAGATAATCAGAGTAATAATCATTTCGTTATTTTATTTGTTAATCAAATTATGACAATTTATTAATTGATTAGATTGGCCATTTTTTTTGTTCTTTTGTTACAATTATTATCAATCAAATCAGTTAGGGTATTTAGCCATTAATTGTTTAACAACCGATTGTCACATCAATTAATTGTATCCAACAGTCAACTTGTCAATTTTATTCACAACAATTAGTTTAATTGTAGAACTCTAAAAATGATTAAAGCTTTGATTCTTTGTGCTTTGGTAAGTTTCACCTTTGCTGGTGATATCGACTTCCAAGATTGTGGTAAGTAAATTGTTGATTGTTTCTGATTTCTTTGTGTTAATTGTTACAATTTTCACTTAATTGTTGTGATTTAAGGTGATGGTTCAAATCAACCAACATCTTTTTCGGTTTCTGGTTGTGATGAGGCTCCTTGTTCAGTAGAACGAGGAAATACTTATGAGTTCGCCATTGGTTTCGAATCTCCAATTGATGCTGATTCCTTAAAGGTCGCAATTAAGGCTCGAGTCTTTGGTGTTTGGATTCCATGGCCTGGTGCACCTCCAGTTAACTGTGGTACCGACATTACCTGTCCCCTTGTAGCAGGTCAAGCTTATACTCTTAAATCATCATTGACCATTCCAGGAATAGCTCCATCCATATCGACCTCCGTTCAATTCTGCCTTCAAAGTGCTGCCACAAGTGAAACTGTTTTCTGTAATCGTTTTCCCGTTAAAGTCCTTTAATTTTCAACAATTTTCTCTACAATTATTAATACCTGACAATTAATCTCTACCAAAATAACTGTAGTCTAGTAATAAACATCAAGTTAATCACTTCGTAAAAAAAACAAACATTTCTTGCTAATCTGCTAATCAGTTAATCATTCAAGTGGTTACATCTCAATCCATATGAACTAAGCTGAATCGAAATTGATTGAAACAAATTAACATCAACCATATAACTTTACAATTCAACAATCAATCAGTACTGATTCAAACAATTTAATAATGAGAAGTAAATTTTATTAGTAATTAGTAACAATTTGTAACACGAAAGAGAAGAGAAAATTGAAAATAATTAGTTAAACATGATTAAATTGATTAACCAGCTCGTCTCATACGATAACGATAACCAATGAAAGCACCAATCAAACAGGTGATCGCAATTATCCCGGTGATTACGGTGATTGTTACACCGATTCCAAGAGCTGAGCCAAAAAACGAGGATTCCAAGCAAATCTCATATTCCCCTGGACATTTCATTTCGTTATTCACTTTAACTGTCGCACTAATTGCGGTCGAGTAAAAATCATCTCGTTGTTGTTTAAATATTCGAGCCGCATGAGATGTACAAAAACGTTCAACTTTATTTTCTACACAATTAATTATATCACAATTAGAGGAGCAATAAGACTCCATTGTTTCCTTGGTCGATCTGTTTTCTTCCCAACAAAATTTAATTTGTTCAACTATTTTGGTCATACAAAGTGACCCCAACTGATTGACCTTTAAAGCTTCATAAATCCATTCCTGATAAACCTCAAGAGGTACTAATTGGTAGTTAATTGTTGGCGATTCATTGATTGTTACATTTTTTTCTGCAACACTAGGAGCACAATTAACTAAATTCAATCGATTAACATTAAAAATAATCACAAAAATTAAAGTATTCAGATAATTGGGAATCATTTTGAGTTGAAAAGTTCTGATTTGTTGATTTGAGAAGCTAATTGTTGACTGAATCAGTTTCCATTAAGCGACAATCTATTTTAATAACAATTAGCTTGTGATTCCCTCATGTAGACATTGAAATGCTACTTCAATTTATCTGAGAGGTTGAAAAAAATAATTAATTTATTAAGACTGATTAAAGATGATTAGGCCTTTCCTGATCAATCAATCTAATTGTGTTATTGATTGTTAACCGATAATCTAATCAATTGATTCTGGTTAATTTCTGGTTTCTTTCAATCGTAAACCTTTTTTTTCAATGTTAATCAGACTTTGATCACCATTTTAATCATCAATAGACTAAGTGACAATTAAAGATGATTGTTTTTAGTCATCGAACTTTTATTTAGATTATCACAATAAAATCAATTAATAAAGTTAATTGACTTAATTATCAATCGAGTATCAATTGATTTATTAATGAATAAATCGTAACCTTAAAAAAAACTTGAATAAAAGTTTGAGGGTTTTGTTTTGTTCAATCAAAGTATCGCAACAATTAACATCGGATTCTACTTAATTGTATCTTTATAATTGTCTGAAATAATCTAAATCGACAGAATGATCGAGTTAACCATTTGGTCACCTTTAAGTTCACTTAATTTAAAAAGTTCATATGGACTTTTGAGCCATGGCGAAGATTCTGGTGAAGCTCATGCTGAGTTTACCACCGCCGATGGCGAGAAAAGGCTTCATGAGCTATCAAAGATATCGCTGAGGCTTCAATCGTTTCCAGCGTGTACCCAATTCACAGACTGATTAGCAAAGTTATCATATTGATTTGGATTAAAAACATTCTCTATCCTAATATTATTTTTTCTCATTTTCTCTTGTGTCGCTTTTTTCTTAATTTCATTATTTGTTATCAAATTATTATCTTCCATAGGTTAATAGACTTTTAATCTCATTTTATGTTCTTTAAATTTTTGTCTAATAATTTTTACTTTTATTCTATTTTCTAATCCAATCAACAAATTGGTTTGGGTTGAAAACAGCTAAACTCATTAGAGCTAAGGTCTAAATAGCTTAACGAAAAGAGCTTAAATCAAAACAGCTAAATTAGAGAAGACAATTTAGATGTCGCAATATATACAGTGTATATTTGTTTGTTTAATTTAAGGCTGATTTAGATGATTTTTGATTTGGTTATGTATGACTAAGTTAGCTTTGATCGAGTTACTGTTTTGAGAGCTCGCGATGATTTTTACTCTCCTTCAGCGGCGATAACCTTAGCATGAGCTTCTCGAGCGACTTCAGCCTCAGCGACGATGATAATCTATTTTAACCAACTATAATCTAGTTTAGGCAAAACGTTTCTTTTGAATATTCACTAAAATATGGAACTGATAAGGTTCTTCGAGTTCTCAAGGCGTGTAAAAATCGTGGTAAGGGTGGAGCTGTTCGTTTGGGTGTTCTATCTGCCAGAGGGCCCTGGCTCGTGTTCTTTTCAACCATATGCACGTTGAGAAATGGGCTTTTGATGTTGAGCTTTTATTTCTCGCCGAAAGAATCAAGTGTAACATCGGTGAATCAGCAGTTAATTGGATGGAAATCGATGGATCCAAAATTGTTCCCGTTTTTAGTTGGATTCAAATGGGAATCGATGTAATTAGTATCTCTTTGATGTACACAATCGGAGCTTGGACATTCCCGTTGAGAAAAGACAAAAATATTTAGACGAAAACCAAGAAACTGTTTTTTAGAAAAGAAAAGAAATCTACTTTTTTACTAAGTGACAATCGGGACAATTAAGAAACAATTATTCGACTCTAATAAATTGAAGTGCTGATTTTCTTGTTAAAATTTACCCTAATCAATGTTTTATGCTATGAATCTGTTGATCATTTTGATTGTTTTCATTTCCGCATCCACGGTCAATTGTAGCCAATCTCTTTGGAGAGGAATCATTCCAGGTACTAAATGGTGCCCAATCAACAGAAGCTTTTTTGTTGAAGAAAATTGAACAATTTTTGAATCTTTTTTGATTCAAATTATGAATCAAAATTTGTTCAACAAAAAATTGTCTCCATTTGAATTGATTAGGACTCAAAAGGGACTCAAATTTGTTTTTAAATATTCGGATACCGGATCTTACTTTTTTGATCCGAACTAATCAATTTTGAGTCAAATTGAAAATTGACCGCTCTTTTCAAAAACAATCAAAATTGAGAATTTTTCTAATTAATCTTTGATTTTATTGATAATAGGTAGAAGATATTTGATATCATAACTGGTATATAATTCTGAATATTTGGTCTTATAATTTTGGGTGAAAAAGTAACAAAGATTTATAAAATTTTGAGCAATTAACATGGTATGATTATGGGTAAAAGATACAATTTCTTGACATTGAGTTTTCATAGATATAAATTTTTCTATTGAGATCATTTTCTGTAGTTTTATAAATACTAAATTATTCAATTCCAATGTCTTGAATGTTCTCGATCAAGTCGTTTCCATCAAAAGAATCCATTTCTTGATCCTGAACATTTTCCTCTTGGAATCTTTGTTTTGATTGATCACGAATGAAGCTTTTTAAAGCCTTACGGAATTTACTTTGATCATAATATAAATTTTTCTTCTTATTGATTTTGTTTTCTAATTGAGTTTGGATATTTAATCCATTTTTGTAGATCCAAGAAACACTTTGGATGATTGAAAATTGAGAATAGATTCTTGTATCTTATTAAATCAAAGAAAGAAAACAAATTTGAAAATAAGCATTAAAAGATTCGTCATTGAGAAATTCGAAAAGCTAAAAATGAAATTACATTTAACCATGATGAGAGAACTTTGAATAATTGATTTTTCTTAATTGTTGCTAATATATAATGATGAAGATGATGGTGATGATGATGATGAAGATGATGAAGATGATAGAGATGCTGATGATGATGTTGATAACACGGAAGATGGTTAAGATTGAATAATTGAAAATTAGGAATTAAAACAAAAGTATTTGAACCACAAGCTTATTTCAACCTTTATGAATTCACAGAAATATTCACAATTAACAAAGAAATTACAATTTTCGAACACTTAAAGACACTGAAAATTATGCGAACGACGATTAGTTGATGATCTTATTACTAAGAATCAAGAAAATCAAATTAATTTGTTGATTTTTCACAATTCAAATGTCCACGTTAAAAATTGAACAAAAAAGCGTCAACTAAGTAATCACACATGTATTTCGGGCTGAAAGTGGTACTCTGAACGAAAATGGCTTTTTTTATATTCGCGCCAAGTTCAATCAGTTTGAATCTTTGTTCCTTGTTTGATTTTATCTCGAAAATATGGTCGAATTTTATGATGAAATTTCCGGTAAAACCTTTGAATTCCGTTTTGTATGGAGAGACTTGAATTTCTTCACAGAAACCGATCAATCTCTTTGTTTTGATTCTTAGAATCTGTTGAATCTTGAAAAAACTGTTAACTCCAATTTTGATGAATGAATCGTTTCTTTTTTTACCAAATGTATATTCTATTGTTGAAAATCTTCGCCCTCCAATTGAAACACTTGTCAAAAATTCGATCTCTTCGGCGGTTATCTCGATGTTCAATTGATCCCGAATCAATGATAAATAATCACTTTGCTTTTCACTGTTACCAATTTTTCTCTGAATGGTCACTTCACTATTTTTTCTTTGATCGCAAAGGCCGAAATTTTTCTTTTCCTTTTGGTTCAATCTCCAGAAAGAGATTTTGGTTGAAATTGTTTCTTTGTACCGAAAATCGTTGATAAAGACTCTGACCAATGTCGATGCAATGTTTGAGCTCCTTCTAACCTTTTCCTTTAGAATACCCATAATATCTTCAAGGGGATAAGAAGAAACATTTGCCATCGGTCCAACATTCTCCAATGAATCAGGCAAGTGACTGAGAATATGTAAGTTGTAGGTTAAAAAAGATTTACCATAGATCGTCGATATTCCAATCTGAAACTCTTCGATTAGATTTTTGAGTTCACTGATTTTTTCCATGTCAACTTTTCCTTTGTGGGCCAAGTAATAAATTCTCACTAGGCACAGCACGTGGTTGTAGATTTTAGGCTTCAATAAACCTTTGATTGTTGGAACAAAGAAATATGATAAAAAGTTATCATACTCTGAACTTTTCCA